TTGCCACGGTCCCCAATGGATTGCACACAGGACACAACTCCTCCCCACCCCCCTGCTCTCTCCTCGTAGTCGTACTGCGCTTGCTTCTGAGGTAAGTTGTGTTGGTAACTCTCTCTCTGTTTAAGTCAACTATTTACGCGCCACCGTGGCTTATGCATCGCCACCATCAGTTCACCACACAGAGAGACCACAACAAGCACAGCCAACAAGGCAATAATAAGCCAAGGCAGGCCAGGCAGAGCAGCGTCAATTATCATCATGGCTTAATGCCTCAGCTGTTAGGCAACAACATGCTTTCTTGCCGAGGCATAATGCCTCAGTGCTTGACTTCTCCAAAGTGTAAAGTCGAGACGAGTCGTGACTTTCAATTCATTCAAAGTCGTCAGATCATGGCAATCCAGCATGTTGCAGAATGCAGATCTAAAACACAACGTACTAGCTAAGCAAATCGTTTGTGTCAAGCCATTTGCTGATGTTTTAGTTGAAGTTACAGATTTACAGATTTAAGGGGGATTTATTAAGATACCGTTCCCCCGGCTGGTGTTGTGCCATAGAATGCACCCCTGCCGCTACCAGAAATCTTGCCTAGGGTACCAAGTTGCTTAGGAACGCCACTGTGCCCTCTGCAGCGCTTACAGTGACACTTGTTGAGGGGCTGCCTTCTGTCGCCATCGTGTGGCATTGCTGTCTTCAGACATCTCTTGATCTCCTTGACTACTTCACAAAAATTATAATATGCCTCGCCGGTGGCGGATTTAAAGGCGAAGAGAGGAGCTGATGTTATTGGTCAATACAGGTCTCGGCTGTGTTAAACCCACTCCACGCCCTCTCTCCTCCCTCCCTACAACTTACGCCGCTGGGAGGAGCTGAGATAGGGAGGGGGATACTTAAGCCAGGCTGCGCCGCTCACCAAAATACCAAACTGTGTTTGGGAACGCCTTGTCAGCGCGGTGGACCTGACTTACGCCGTGCCTGCAGCACGTCTCCGGCGAGGCACGAAAATAGAGCCTCTTGTGTGCTGAGGCAGCCTGTGACCAAAGTCAAATTCAGAAGATGGACACCTCAGGCTTGTGGTGCTCTAAGGAACTTTTTTAAATCAACAGACTGGAATGTGCTGCTGGAAACAGGTGTGGATCGTGTCAACATTGACAAACAGGTTGACTGTTTTACTGAATATATCAACCTCTGTGGAGACACAGTTATACTGACAAAGTCTGTTCGCTGTTTCCCCGACAATAAACCCTGGATCACAAGTGACATAAAAGCAATCCTTACCAGAAAAACAAAGCTTTTAGAGATGGTGACAAAGAAAGACTCAATTAAGTGCAACAAGAGTTGAAGAGGAGACTGAAGATGGCAAAGCTGGAATACAAAAAGAAGATAGAGAGGAATCTACAAAACAGCAACATGAAGTGTGGAGAGGAAACAGTATCATCTCTGGACACAGCAATAAAATAAAAAAAAGACAGCCAGTGGTGGGTGATCTGGAAAGAGCTGATGAATTCATCCTGTTCTTTAACAGATTTGACACTGCTGTCACACCCACCTTCCTGTCCTTAACAAATCTCCACCACAACTTCTCCCCTTCCTCCTCCATCTCATTCAAATGTCTCAACCACTTCAATTACCTCCCTCCAAGAACATCAGTCCTTGTCTGTCACAGAAACAGGGGTGAGGATGGAGCATGGAAAACTTTGTCGTGGGAAGACAGCTGGTCCAGATGGTGTGTGTCGGAGGCTGCTTAAAGACAGTGCTGCAGAACTGTGTCAACCTCTCCACAGGATCTTCAACCTGAGTCTACAGCTGGGGCGGGTACCTGCTCTGTGGAAAACCTCCTGCATTGTGCCAGTACCAAAAACAAAATGCCCTGTTGAACTCAATGACTACAGACCAGTGGCCCTCACTTCACACATCATGAAAACCCTCTGAGGTCTAAGGTCAAAGACAACCTGGATTCCCTGTAGTTTGCATACAAAGAACACATTGGAGTGGATGATGCTGTCCTGTACATGCTTCACTGTACCCTGTCTCATCTGGAGGAACCTGGGGTTTATGTGAGGATCATGTTCTTCGACTTTTCAAGTACATTCAACACCATCCAACCCACCAAACTCAAAGACAAGCTCACAGAGATGGTAGGGGATCCTGCCTGTGTTTCCTGGATCCCAGATTACCTGACAAGAAGGCCACAGTTTGTCAGGCTGGGGAACTGTGTCTGGGACATTAATGAGCAGTACAGGGGCTCCACAAGGGACAGTGCTGGCACCATTCCTGTTCACACTGTATACGTCAGACTTGAAATACAGCACTGAGTCCTGCCACATCCAGAAATACTCTGATGACATCGCTATTGTGGCATGTATCAGAAATGAACAAGAATCTGAATACAGAGATCTGATAAGAGCCTTCAGTGGCTGGAGTCACAAAATCGTTTTTTACTGCAGGATGTTTGCCGAGAGTAGAAGACTGAAGAGAGGAGTCCTGCGTTAGTTACAAATAATGCCAGAAATATGATCCTGGCTGGTGCTGGCGCTCAGATGGACCCACATGTGAAATGCATAGCTCACACACTGAACCTGGCCTCTCAAAAAGCCTTGAAGGTGGACTTTATGCCAGAGCTGGTGGTGAAAAGCTAGGAGGCTTGTATCCTTTTTCCACAACAGCCCCAAAGCATCTGAAGTTCTTTGTGACACACAGACCCAGTTACACCTTCCCAACCACAAGCTCGTCCATGATGTTTCCGCAAGATGGAATAGTACCCTTGATATGTTGGAGCATTTCTGGGAGCAGCAGCCTGCTGTGCTGAACACCCTGCTGTCAAGGAAGATAAGGAGGGTAGAAGCTATAGTCAGTTTGACAGAAGATGACATGACACTGATCCCAGAGATCATCAAATTTATTTCTCCTCTGAAAGTGGCAACCACACTCCTCAGTGAAGAAAAAAGTCCCACCATCTCCATGATCTCTCTAATCCAAGCCAAACTGCAGAACCATTCCTGACCAGATGAGGGTGATCTTCAAACAATTTCCCAGATGAATGAAAGATTCAGACAGGACTTGGATGGTCAGTATACATACAGCATCTTCAAGACCTTCTTTTTTTTTAAAGACCTGGCTTTTCTGGATGACAGTAAAGACAAGGATATGGTATTCATGAAGGTAACAACAGAGATAGTACAGATGAATGGAGAGGTTATAAATTTTAAAGATAGCAATTCCAACTGACACTATTCTAAGTGTAGAACTATGCTTGTGTTATTTAATTGTTTTTTTCTGCTTTACCTGCATGACCTTATACATTTTGCAATGGTTAAATACAGTATATTAATAATGCAAATCTTTAAAAAAAATAACACACCCATGCTTTTTGTTTTTTTAATCAAAACAAAATCTAATTGATTTCTCTGGGTGCATTTATTAAGGAAGGGGGCAGTGACACAGACACACAGAGTGAAGACCAGGTAACAGACACATTGGATGAGGACCAGGCAGCTGAAACAAAAGGTGACAAGAGTCCCTTAAAAGAGGACAAGACAGATTGGTATGGAAGGAGACAATGCCAAAATTTTTCAAATGTATGTTTGTTAGGATGCAAATTTTATATTGTAATAAATAAACACCCTGCATATTACAAGTAATTTTCAGATTGTTAATGAAAGAAATAATTTTTTAGCACAACTGATGAGCCGCTCCTCTGCCCCCCTCTGTACATAATATCCCTCCAAAGAAAAAGACAGTTCCTGACTGCAAGACCACCAGCAAATGCCACAAGGGAAAGAGCCAAGAATGAAATCTTAAACCACAAAGAGAGGGATTGTTTATGTTTGGGTGGGGATGTGTTGCAATGGTGGAGACTGCAAGTAGATCTTCCACTACTATCAGCTTTTGCAAAGTGATACCTGTCCATTCCAGCAACAAGTGTACCAGCTGAAAGAGTTTCAGCACAGCTGGTGACATAGTTACAGCACAGCACAGCTTGCTTCAACCTCATCATGTCGATCAATTTATATTCCTAAATAAAAAAAACCTTTAAGTGATGAATGTGCACTATCTTAAAAGGCCTCAGGATGACCCGCTAACCAAGTTATTTATTTTAAAGTGTTTCTTTCTGTTTTAACATTCTTACCACAGTTAAGACTAAAATAAATAAAAGCTATCTTTGTATTTTTTTTTCCACTGGAGAGCCTTCTTTCTAATAAAAGAGCACAAATTGTTTTAAATACACTACACTAAAAATGTAGGTGTTTTTTCCACAGAGAAATTTCCAAGAAAGTCAATGTGTCAGTGAGTACAGTTTTCTTTACCATCAAAAGACACTTAGAAACTGGGTGAAATGCTGACAGGCACAGGTCTGACAGACCCAAAGCCACAGCAGCATCAGAAGACAAGTTTCTGAGAGTCAACAGCTTGCGTGATAGGCAACTCACAGGACAACAGCTTCACGCACAGTTTAAAAGTGGTAAGTAAGCAAGTCTCAGTTTCAACTGTGAAGAGAAGACTTCAAGTTGCAGCAAGAAAGCCATTGCTGAGACTTCAGCATAAGAAAAAGAGGCTTGCCTGGGCCACGAAACACTGCTAATGGACTATTGAAGACTGGAAGAAGGTGTTGTGGACTGATGAATCAAAATTTGAAATCTTCATTTCATCACGCAGGATTTTTGTAGGCCCTCAAGTAGGCCAAAGGATGGTTCCTCAGTGTGTGACGTCAACTGTCAAACGTGGAGGAGGAAGTGTGATGGTCTGGGGCTGTTTTGCCGGATCCAGGGTCAGTGTCTTGTGCAGAGTAAAAAGCACCCTGAACCAAAACGGCTACCACATCATTCTGCAGCACCATGTGGTACCCTCTGGGATGCACCTAGTTGGTCAGGGGCTCATCCTACAGCAAGATAAGTCCAAGCTATGCCAGAACTACCTTATGAAAAAAGAACAAGATGGTAAGCTTGAGCTCATGGAGTGACCAGCACAGTTTCAAGACTTAAACCCCATTGGGCTGGTTTGGGATGAATTGGACAGAAGGGTGAAAGCAAAGCAACCTACAAGTGCTACACATTTATGGAAACTTCTGCAACAGAGTTGGGAAGAACTCTCTAAAGAATATTTGATTCCCATTGAAGGAAGAATGCCACGAGTGTGTTTAGCTGTTATATCTGCCAAAGGTGGCTACTGTGATGAGTCAGAGGTTTAGAATATGTTGTCATTTCTAAATTGATTCTGTGAATTCTTTTTTTTTAACTTCAGATGTTTATTTGTTCTATGCATTAATTTCAGAGTACACTCGGACATTAAACTGCATCATTTTCAATAAAATTCTGGAAAAGTTGGGGTGTTCTAAAACTTTTGACCAGTAGTGTATATAGCTTTATATGTTTTGTACTGCACTTATATTTTCCTGTTTATCTTGAAGATACTTTACAGATGAGTCATGTGTTTGAAAATTGCACTGCACTCTTAACTGTAAACTGAGTGTCTTAATAGACATTCAGGCTCTAAGAGGAAAGACAGTTTGTGAAAAGCCTTGGTTTGATTTGGTAAATAAAAACTCAAGCCTATTGAATTACACAGAATCCTCTTTTACATCATCACTTTTGTTGTATCAGATTGTGCTGAATTGCTCTGTATCATGATTTGGGTGTGAATCGTATCGTATTGCATCGCATAATGCCACACATGTATCTTTAATATATCGGATCATAGACAGTGTATAAAGATGTGTATTTTACATGAAAGAAAAAAAATCTGTCTTTCCAACATCTTGGTCAGAGTTCTGTACAATACAAATCTAAAAGAGTGGAAGCCAGATGAATGGACATCTAAAAAGTGTATACTTTATGTTATCACGAACCTTCAAATCAGAATGACACAATAACTCTGACAAAATGTGACATTTCCTCTTTAATTTTTCATTAATTTACAACTGTGTTGAAAAGTTATTTGTTCAGAGATCTGCTAACTTGGACTTTTTTGTCTTTATTTTATTTAGTACTTTTGTACAAAGCAATGAGTATTTTGAGCAAAAGTATAGTGTCTAATCTAAAATTCTAAAGGCAGAAAAAATGGCACTGGACAGGATTAGACTGAATGTGGCTTGCATTGCTGCTGATGTTACAAAAGGTAATTGTGGAGGAAAAGGTGTCTGTACCGTTGGAAACTGTTGCAGATCTCTTCTGAAGACAAAAATGACCTCAGTAATGAATGAACACTGCAGCCCGCACTTACAGTTATCAAAAGAAAAGGACAACTAAGGAGCCTAATTTGAAAAGTTACTCTTACATTTAATAAAGCGCTTTAGCATCTTACATCGAACAAAAAAAGTACAATCTTACTGTTTTTAAAGAGACAAAAAACACTTTTCTTGATAAATATATTTGGTATTCTTGTTATTTACAAAAGAAAAGTATCAAAGTGTGACTTCAAATGTTCATGCCCATCAAAAGAGTCACTAAAACTCCATTGCTGAAAAATAACCATTCTGCCTCTCTTGGGCTACTCTATCACTTGCACCAGTATAGCACATTTACTGCACCTTAAGAGAAATACTTACACTGCATGTAAAAGGCACTCTGATTTAAAAAAGAAAAAGAAAAAAAGAACTGGGACCAGGCCTTAGAACTGAACTGAACACGTTCATCCAAAACTTTTTAAGTATATAAAGAAAGTGAAATTGATCTTAAAGTCATTGGAACTGTATGAAATGTGTCTTTGAACTCACTTTCATCACAATCATTATGTACTGGAGTTATATGAAATTTATGTGTAACATGTCAACTCTCCAAATGGCAGAGGTTTCACTATGGAATAAAATCATTACAGATAACTTCAGTGTTGAGGTCAGACTACATGATCCTTCCAGCTGTAACAACAGTCATGGATTAGCCAATCACAGAGCCGGTTAATCATGTTATGTTTGACTGACAGATAATGGTAGACGACCAGTCATCACAATGCTGTCTGGAGGACGAGGGGCGGCGCAGAAAAACACCTGGAGATGCTAAAGGCAGTTATTCACCAATATGCTGTTTCTTGTTAACATATTTCTTTAGTTAGAGTGCCGTCTTAGTTTTCAATGCCAAATCTCAGAGGAATGTTGTTTTTGGAGCTCCACAAGCTTTTCCTCTGTTTTGTCCATCCAACTCACAGCACTGACCACCTCATTCTTCTTTGGCTTTGCTCTTTTGTTTGTTTGTGCTTGTAACTTTTGCACGTGCAGAGCACTCTGTGCTGTCATTGGTCAACACCACCAATGTCATGAGTCAAATGGTTAAGGGCAGGGAGAACAACTGAACATGCAAGACTGTCTGTTGAGAGGTTGTGAGGTGTCCCTTATTGTCATACTAAGCCACATGAGTTGAACCTAAAATCAGGAGGGGAGCAACACCCTGGGAATGCTAGACCAGGCTTTAATCATGTTTGAACTGTGTGGTCTGACCTCATTTCATGGGTAATAGCCAGAAATAGCGAAATGGAAATAAAACCAGTAGTGGGAGCAAATGTTAAAAAATTAGGTTGAAATTGCTGTGTACACCTACTGTTCAAATTATCCACCGGCTCCAAAACAGAAGATATATTCATATGGTCTACACAATCTGTACAATGATGTTTATAAGCCACTCACTGCTGGCTGTACATTCAAAGATGTGGCTACACTTTTACTTTGACTGAATATCTACAGCATTTGTGACATCTTTTTTGAAAAATACACAGTATTTCAGACCTAAAATATGATCACATCAGTACAGCAGGGAGTCATGCTGGGCTATATGAGCAGACTGTGGCAGCTCCCCTTGAAACAGGACAGTCGATAACAAGACAGAGTCACGCAAGAACTGATGTAAATGTGGCTTTGGTATGTACACTAACACAAATTACACATTATATTAGCTGCAGCTCTATGCAGAAGATCAGACTGTGGGTGAGGACCATCCATAGAAATCAAAGGTCAATACAGAATACAACAAGTGCTATTGCTCACAAGAAGCTACTGGGTCATCTTAGAAAGCATAAGCCTCTGCTAAAGAGCATGTACTATCATAGTTATGGTGGCTGAGGTAATGCTATAACTTAGCCCCAAAACAGAGACTATCATCTTCCTTTTGTGGAGTTACTAATTCTAGTTGTGCTAAAGAAAATACAATGTTCAGGAAGAATACATTGACAGGATTGTTTCAAAAGCTACAAAGTTATCTTAGGGCTTTTCTGGTTCACTTAGAATTGAATGCTTAGCCCTGTTTAGCCTCTGCCCACAGGAGACTTAGCCGTATGTCTATTACTCGCGTATAGGAAAGTAAGCCCTTCCTTAGTAAGCAGGGCAATGAAGGCTTATAAATAAAAGAAGGTCCATGGGGGTCATCTCTGTTTGGTTCAGCAGGAGTAAAGGATCAGTGGATCAGGTAGAGATGTGCCTTTCTCTTTTGCTGTGTGTACACTGATGTCTTTCTGTAATGGGATCTCCTTGTCACTTAATATACATGTCACTATTGACCAGGCCAACAGTGACAGCCTAGATACTTCACGGAATGGTGGTTTCTATTGATCCGTCAAAGCTGAATTGTGTTTTTCCAGCCCAAACTCTGCTGGCAGGGCAGAAATGTGTCTACTTGAGCCACATAATTCAACTGCATATAGTAAGGTAATGGCTTGTGCATGTGTTGAGGTTTTCATTTGGGTAAATATTTCCATGCTAACTCCTTTCACATCCATTTTTTCTTTTTTATCCTCTGTACATCTTTCTTATACAACCCCAAACTGTTGCTGGGCCCCCTGCCTAATCAGTGGCTGAGCAGAGAGTAGGAAGTTTACATGAAAGAGGAAACCTCATCGATTCCTTTTCAAGAGGGAAAATCTTGTTTTCTTTGTCATACCAGGCCAGGTTATACAGCCAAGTTTGTGGCCCTGGGCCCAACCATGGTTAGAAGTTGCGGACTGCACTAACAAACTGCAGGCACAAACACAAAAGTCTAGTCATCCTTCCACACTGTTCCTCTGATCACATCTGACAGGCTTATACAGACATGTCTGCTGATAGATAACACCTTCTAGACCACAGATACCTTTTCAGGAAGACTGTACACTGTCTAGCTGTACACACAAGATCAGGAAGGGTTGAATAACTTCTCCTTAGGTGCCTAACTCTCTTTCACTCTCCCTTTTCACCTGTAGCAGTCATCTAAAAAGTGCTTCAAGAAACTCTCTTAAAGTAGAGAACAGGAAGGAAAAAGAGGGCTTTTGGTTTGAAACACATTCTGTGCTCAGGGAAGGAATTATACCTGGGCTGAAGAGGCTTTTTATGACCACTCCTGTTGAAGTCAACATGTGTGCAATGTCACAAAGTTCACCTGACACAATCTGTGTGATACCATTCAGTCCCTCCACTGGCTACATCATTCTGTTATGATGCATAGAGGAAAAGTGTAGATGTCTCATCTCTCATTCTTCCTAAATAAATAAAGTTATTCTCATTCAGTTAATCTATTTCAGAAAGTTCAGCTTTAAACTAAATCACCATTATTGAAGAGCAAGTTTTCCTCCCATCACAAAGTGCTCTGTTCAGTACTGAAGAATCCCCCTTCTTTCTTTTTCCTCCTTCTCAGTCTGTGCACTCTCCAGCAAACAGCTGCTACCAGAAGCATCACGAAACCTGCACAGAGCAGCACCACAGACACAACTTTGGTTTGGAGCAGTGTGTTGAAGGTGAAAGTGACTCCAGTGCCAGCCATGCCAATAACGAGTGATATCACGCCAAAGGGGAACACACAGCGGTACCAGGACTTCTCTGTTCCGCCTGTAGCCTGAGCAAGTCTCTCCAGGGTAGGGAGAGTCTCAGGAGGTTTGGTTCGGTCTCTCTCAACACTCCCTTCTCTTTCTCCACCTTCTGCACAGCCATTCAAAGGCTGGTTCTGGTTCTCAGAGTCCTGGGTGTTGGCTTCAGCACTGTTGCCACAGTTTAAGTGCGAATGAAGGACCTGGGCTGGGGGTTGACGGCCTGAGGAGAGGCCCATTTTGGGGCTGCTGTCCCTAGGTAAAAATGTGGGAAAAGCTGTTTCTCTGCAGTGATCCTCTTGGTGTGCAGTTGGTGAGTGCTACTACTTCTTAGGATGCTACACAGGGGATCTCTAAAGCTGCTACCAGTGTTGTCGGTGCCAGTCAGGTTGTTGCTATTGTTGCTCTTAACATTTGCCAGCATGTGCCTGCATTTGGAGAGACGAGGAGAGAGCTGAAATAGAGAGGGAGAAAAGAAGAAAAAGAGCACAGGAGAGAAAAACAACATTTTAGCTTGGCCACAGGTTTTATTCTACAGACATTCATGCTCCCTGTGATTTCATATGTACAGAGGAAATGATCACAATACAAGGCTTCAAGAGAATCGCACATACCACAGAATAAGGCTTTATTTTTAACCTCTCTCATACAAACACACACTCATTCACTTGCAGAGAGGATACTCTTACCTTGTTTTGTCAGCACACACCGATGAAGGACATTGTTCAGAGCAGACTCTTCTCCAGTGCTGCTCATGGCTGCAGCAGTCGTGTGTGTGCTGTCATGCCGATCTCCATTGGCTATATAATCACAGAGAGGAGGTGGGGCTTATACAAATCCATAGACAGGATGTGAGGCTCTGATTGGCTCCCTTTGCAGAAAGATTACAGGGGGAAGGATGGGGGTGAGATTAACTGTTCAGAAGAGTCATTCGGTGATATTTATTGATTATTTAGTGTGACCAGAAATATGAGAAGTCTCTAAAGTAGTGTTGTGTTCAGGGTCTGCCATTGGTTGCAGAGTCAAAATGATACTGTGCCATGAAAACATGGATACAATGACCTCTAACATTGCTGTCTTCTTGATTACAGCTCTAATGCTTTCCTCACTGATTAGCTGCTTGGCTGGTTTGGCAGCATCCACACAATGTGCCACACATTCTGCTTATACTGTACTTTAATGCCTGCTGATTCTGCCAAGCCTGTTCCCTTGGATGTGAGTTTGCTATATAGCAGGTGGGGTCAGTGGGAATCTTGTTTATCCAGTCATGCATGTAGATGACTAAGCATTTGATAACCTGAAAAGAGTCATAGTTATGCTTTTAATGAATTCACAAAACACTCAACTGATATTTAAAGAGGGGGTATTATACTCTCTCTCTGATTCCTTTTTTATATCTTTACATGACTTTCAGAGCAAAAAAGCCTCCAGTTTCTAACTGTGGTGCATTAAAATATCATTATTTCAGCCTCAGTCTGAAACACTTCCCAGGGCTCTGATGAACATAGCTTGAGATACCTTGTAGTAATAATAAAATAGAATTAAATTATGACATTATGCACTCATTGAAAGGGGCACCGCCCACCCTTACCGGTAGGAAAAAGAAAGTAGACAAGGTTTAATTAAGTAATCAAACACTGAATCTATCTTAAACAGATTTAAATCAATCTCATGTCTGAGGCCTGAATTCTCATTTCACTTCTGGAAGGACCACTAAGAGACGACAACTTAAAATGAAATGGGTACTTTATTGACAAATGCTAGGTGATAATAAAAATTCAATAAATGGTGATCAAATAATAACAATAAAGGCACACTTAATAAATGAATGGAGAAATGATTTAAACTGAGCTAAGGCTATAGAGGTTAATGCTAGTAAGTGAATAGGGAAAAATGTTAACGAGGTTACAAGGATATATTTTGGAAGGGGAATTTGGAGAGAAAGCTAAATTATAATTGAGAATGTAAGCTATGAACGCATGAGACAGCATCAACCCTTTTCTTCAGAGAGTCGAGAGGTTTGCCTACTAATTTGTTGACGGTTCTCAGTGGGCACTCTTGGAGTGGGTCGGCCGAAGGTCCAGGCTACAGGTGGTCTTGGCGGGTTTTGCTCACAGTCGTCAGACGAACAGTGAATCTGATGGCCTTCAGCGCTCCTCTCTCTCGGAACCTTGTGGCAAATGCAGGCTCAGCATATGATGGGGGTTGGTCTGTCAGGTGTTCAGAGTTAGCTCTACTACGGATTAGTTTGCGCCAATAACTTAGAAAAAAAAATTGCTGGCCAGCCAATATTATCTTCAGGAGTCACTTAGGCGAACTAAACAAAATAACAAACTTAGACTGGTAATCTTTGCACGCAGGTAATAACTTATGCTGCAAAGAAACTTTGGTAGTTTCATCTAAGTTTCTGGGAAAAGGCTGAAAACTTAAGGCGAGTAAAAACACAGAAAAAGATACACAAATTGATGAAGACTAGGACAAAAATGCCAACACAGGAAAAAACACGAGGGCTAAGACGAAAAAAACAGTAAGAAGTAAGAGTTTTAAGTTAAGAGATGATAAGAGGGCGAATAGCGTAAGCTTAGCCCTCTTAACCCATTTGTGCAGGGTTTTAACCAAAAAGGGGGGCAAGCTGATACTCCTATTGTTCACAGCTCAGCCTGATCAGACAGGCAGGCAAATTAATTTCAAGGGATTAATAAGCAAGTTAGATCTATTTTACCCACTCACTATGATTAATGCAGTTGATAAAGTTACATATGATATAATTTCTCTCGTTGTTTTTTTATGAGCAGATGCATCAAAACCATAACATTAAATGCAAAGCAAACTTTAATTACCAGTTTTTCTGGTATTATATAATCTGAGGATTAACAAACTCTTTGATAGTTAGAGAGATGGAAATTAAATTATCTTTTACAACAGAAACACTATAAGGCATAAGAAACACATAAGTGATAACACCATATTTGGATATAACCATGTCAACCTACACTAGTAACTAATTAAACTATATATTCTGGTGAGGTAGACAAAACATAGCATTTAGAATGTTCAAAACACTTTTAACTCGTGCAAAAAGAGTTTTCAGTTACAACTTCTAATATCTCAACTACTTTGGGAATACTATTCTCTAAGCTACAAAGTATATAACATGCAACATAGATAAATTTAAGGAATACATATGTAGATTCTGACCAAAACCATATCCAGAACACACCACTAGGAGGAGCTCTTGGTCTATGGAAAACCTGGAATAAATTTGTGAAGTTAGCAGCTTGGCTTATAAAACATGCTTGACAAATAGGACAAAGACTGTTTCACTGCTGATGTTGTGTACAGATAGAAAATCCTTGTGAAGTTTCCATTAAACCTGAAATTGAATCATTTGCAGGTATGATGTGCCTGCCAAGTCGAGCAAGGCATGCGAAGCAGGGGGTGTGTTGCAGGGAATACGCTCCTGAAATGGGGAAGGGGTGATGAAAAAAAACAAACAAAAAAATGCTCCCCAAAATTCCCCATTAGTGTGTATTGCGTGCCAAGGCGTATATTAGTGTCCTAGACGGCGGGTTTATTTTTCTTATTATTATAGATCAGTGGCGGATTTAGGGGTGGCTACTTGGACTCAAGCCCTCAATGTTTTCTCAAGAGCCCCAAATCACAGATCTGAGCTGGTCTGAGTTTAATGTGTAGTACTTGAGTTCACCAGAGAGTGGCAGCATGCGCAGGAAAGCAGCCTGTAGCCTTCCTGTTCAGATGAAGAAGTGTTTCCCTCTAGTGGCTATTACTACTCCTCTACTCTACTGTCAGCGTCTAACGACCAGTCAAGCACCTCCACGGCAAATTTTAACCCATTTAAACCGGGACAGCATGTACGCATTTCAACCTTCCAAACCAGCGGCGCTGCTGCGCATGTCCATTCTTTAAGCCGGGAGCGCTGATACGTCATTTCGTAACATTCTGTAGTTTTTAATCATTTCTGGAGTCGTGGTGAATCAAATCATCATACCTCTCTACCTATGACAGGCTAATAAAGCTTATAGAGTGCTCGGATTCATGCTTGGATCTTGCCACGTGCTTCATGAGTAAAGTAAACAATGACGGAGGCAGAGAGCAGCTTTGGAGGAGAAGCATCCAGCAGTGTGAACAACCTCTTCATATTGAGTGGTTTGGCTCACACGATTGGCGACTTCTGTGAGTGTTGCATGACTTGGGGTGAACACAAAGATGAACACACTGTCAGCAAAGGCTGTACAATAAAAAAATAACTGAAAAACATAGGGCAGGAGAGTGAAAAGGAGAAGGTGAGTCAAATGGCTATTTGTTACAAAAACAATATGTCTGGATGTTTCATAAGTTTTATTTGTAAATAGTTATTTTTTAATTTTAGTTCATGAGTGAGTGAAGAAGAAAAGACAGGAGATGACCTATAACATTCAAAAACAGAAGAGGAGGCATGACAAAACAAGAGGACAGCTCTGAAATGTATTTAAAGAGTGAGGAAGACAAAGTAGAGGAAACAGTGAAGAGAAAGTGAGGGGGAAATGAACAGAAATGGAAATCACAAACAAAGCAAAAGAGGAGAGACAGCAGATGAAAAACGGTTGAGAATAAAAGATTAAAAACCAGTGTAGTAAAGGAAAGCAGAGGTGCCAGCCAGGATCACAGATACAGCAGTAAGGAAATAAGATGCATTTTATTGTACTTTATTTCACATCTTTAGTTTAAAATCAGTCTGAATAACTTTTTTATTTTATATTTTCTTCTTTCAGTGGACGTGAGGCATATGTTCATGACGTTAGACAGTGACTTCAACAAGGCTAGTGGTAGGACATTTGCATTATTAAAGGGTCCGGATTTTTTTAGTGTTCTCCTCTGTGTCTTTTGTTGGCTTTGAATTGGTGGTAAGTTGAAGTAAAAAAAAACTGTAGTTTTTATGTGCATGGTAGCTAAAGAAGATGGAAAAGAAAGTCGGCAGTTGCACCCTCAGGGCTAAGCCCCTGATCGCCTAGAACAGGGGTCGGCAACCTTAAACACTCAAAGAGCCACTTGGACCAGTTTCCCACAGAAAAGAAAACACAGGGAGCCGCAAAACCTCTTTGACATTGCATATATCTTTTTTTTTTACCTTTATACAAAGTATATAAAAAACTGTAGCGAGTTGCATTTATGAAATAAATGAACTATTTCGGCGAGTGTCTGTCTTCTTCTGTAGTTAAACCGCAAGATATCAAAATCTACCCGGATACAGCAATGCTGCTTTTTGATTGGCTGTTCAGTAGATATACTTTATTTGATTGGCTTGTGCGTGGCACGCAGCTTCTGAACTCTCGGAGGAACTCAGTTGATTTCCCCCCAGTTCCATAGTTGAAGAAGTGCAACTTGGTGGACATCACCTGTGTTCATTTAAATGTGTGAGAAATACAATGTGTGGTGTGTGAGCGTGTGAACGAGTGGGAATGCGTGTGTCATACGCTGAATGCGTGAGACTTGAGAGCCCTGTGCTCACGCATCATCGATGTACTCCCGAGCCATGCAAAACGGTCTTTGCAAATGTTGCACTGAACGCCTTCCTTTTCAGTCTTGGTGAAGTTTTCCCACACCACTGATGTTTTAGGTCGGGATTTGGGTTGGGTTGTGTCCATGTTTTTCTCAGCCGCTGCCTCGGCCATGGCTGTTTCTTTTCTGTGCGTCCTGCTGATGTTTACACGCCGGTGTCCATGGACATATAAAAAGACCCGACGAATCGATTACAGAATTTGTTGGCAACGGATTTTTTCGTCACGACGAATCTACTTAATCGATTCTTTGTTGCAGCC